TATTTATTTATCTATTTATTTGTTTATTTCTTTATTTATTTATTTATCTATTTATTTATTTATATTTATATTTATATTTATTTATATTTATTTATATTTATTTATATTTATTTATATTTATTTATATTTATATAATCCACCAACCAACCCAGGAAAGACGCCTCAGAGCCAGGGCGCGGTAGCTCGGACCCTGTGACGCCTGCACCAGCGCGGCGCCGAGGAGTTCCAGGACCTTTTGGCGGCAGAACCCTAAACCCTAAACCCTAAACCCTAAACCCTAAACCCTGAACCCCAAACCCTAAACCCTAAACCCTAAACCCTAAACCGTGTTCCTGATTAAGAAACCCTGGGCTTTGATTAGGTTCTTAGGGGTCTTAATATGAGCCCTGATATATTGGGGTTCTAGGGCCAAGGTCTCTTAGTCAGGTTCCTACCTTATCATTTCAGGATTACCCAAAGGGATGCTAGGAGGCCAGGTTGCTATTAGGCCTACCATAAGGGTTTAGGGTTTAGGGTTTAGGCTTTAGGGCTTTAGGGTTTCGGGTTTAGGGTTTAGGGCCTTAGGCCTACTATAAGGGTTCATTGAAACCCCAAACCCCAAACCCCAAAAAAAACCCTAAACCCTAAACCCTAAACCGACGAGGGCTACACAACGCGCCGGGCGCCTTCGTAGCGAAGCCGCGTCCCCCTGGAGTCTCAGCAGTCCGCAAGGCGAGCCGCACACCCAGAGCCTCGTGATATGAAACTCCCGGAGGGAGGGGAAAGGGTTCAGGGCTTTGGGGGTTTAGGGTTTAGGGTTTAGTAGGTATTGAGACTGTGTTGGGGTGGTGGGTTTGTGGGGCTCGAATCTGAAACTCTGGGATTTAAGGCTTGTGGTTTAGGGTTTTGTGGCTTTTGGCCTTGGGGTTTGGGAGCCTTGCTGTAGGGGGCTGGACGAACATCTTCCCGCTCCTTCGCTTGCGGGAGGCCTGCCTCGAAACGACTAGGGTTTGGGGCTCAAGGCTCCGATTTTTGGGGTTTTTGGTTTTAAGACATCGGTTTTTGAGGCTTCTGGCTTTGGGGTAGACTGATCCAGGACACAGGAGCTCTGAAGTAGGCAACTATTCACCTTGGAAGCTCCATCCCCCAGAGTAGAAAGGCCTTGAATTCTGGTGGAATCTGGGCGACCTTTGCCGACGCCATACGGAGTCCTTGCAGAACCATAAACCCTAAACCCTAAAGCCCCTAGAGCCCATGTTATTAAAAACCCTTGGAGCCCGCATCGAGCCATGTTTGAAGCCTTGTCAGAAGGCGGATTCAGAAGCCTGAATTATTAGAATAGGGCTGGTTTTTGAGGCCCATGATACTATAAATATAGCAAGGAACCCCGAAAATAGTATCTCTTATTGCTGTCGAAGCCTTAATAATTGGAATAGGGTTTTGAGACCCATCATACTATTCATATAGTACGGAACCCCCAAAATAGCATAGGTAATTCTTAAGGCACCCTAAACCCTAAACCCTAAACCCCATGTTAAGCCCTGGCCGCCTGGGAAGAGACCCGCGTCTCCAAGGCTGCGGCGGCCCCTTGGGAGGTTCAGCGAAGGCTTTCGGGGAGGCTTTGAGGGATCGCGTCAAGGAGCCTCACCTAAGATACACTACTTTAGGTCCCTTTTAGAGGGAACCCTAGTATGTATAGAACCCTATGATATCCCTTAAAGTAGTGTTTAGGGTTTAGGGTTTACAACTTAGGGCTTAGGGCCTGATAAACAACGGAGCCCATGCAAAGAGCACGCCCTCTCTATCCCGACTCAAGAAGCGCCCGCAACTACGGAGCCAGGGGGGCTTGGAGATGTTGAAGGGCTTCGCGCTTGGGGCTTTTAGCGGTTAGGGTTTAGGCTTTCGCTGGCCTGCAAAATCAGCCAGATGTGACAGGATCTGCTCCTGGTTGGCCGCCTGCAAGGAATCCACGGCCTATGAAGCCCGATGCCCGCAAAGAAGGTTCAGGGCTTAGGGCAATCATGAGCGCGGTCAGGGTTCGAGGTCAGCAGATCTATTCCAAAAGACCCTGCAAAACCTAAACCCGCATACCCTTCGGCTTTTTCTGCACGAGAACCTTCTCCAGATTTCAACACCCCAACCCGGCACCCTCCCAGCTTCCGAAATACCCGATATCCGAAACCCTCAACCCAATGCCCGAAACCTGGAACCCTAAACCCTAAACCCTAGACCCTTAGACCCTAAACCCTCAAACCCAAACCCTAAACCCTAAACCCAAACCTTCCCAGAGTGAAGGGAGATGCCTGCAGCAGCACCTCTGTCGGGCTCAGGTGCAGCACGCTTCGGAAGACCTGTCAGCAGAATAAAAAGGAGATTTAAGACTCAACGATGATATGGCCTTACAGTCTTTAAATGTCTCTAATAGAAGTGTGGAATAATGAAAAATGTACTCCGAAACCAGAGTCTATTTATGAGGCCCCTAGATTCTTGCACTGCAGGTTCGCCAACTTGGAAGCTGATC